CCGCTCTAGTACATTGCACTAAATACGGGAGATCGGAAGTAATACAGATATCTGCGCAGCCGAAGGTGGCGGAGACTGGGCTATTTTCGTCCCTGTGTCCCTGATGCATGCGTAGAGCTTCCCACATTAAACTCAGCTTGTGTCGCATCCTACCAGCGTAGGTTGGCATGTAAATACTAATTGTAGCGTCTTCCTTCGGGTTGAAAAACGAAATTTTATCTCTCAATTGTGTTTCTGTCTTTGGACATAACATAGCAAATAAATAATGGAGGCTTGGTGCCGGGGATCCCAAGCCTGCGGCAGCACTTCCCTGATTGCACCAAAGACCGTGTAGGGGTAAATGAAACATCAACGCCAGTGCGACCTTTTCTGCTGGGACTGTTCACTTTTTTGGCCTTAGCCCATGTGCACGCGTTTGGGCTCCCAAATTTAAACCGACGTTGTGCAATATCCCTTCACCGTGGTCATGAGAAAAATAAATACTTAGTGTAGTGTCTTCCTTCGGGCTGAAAAACTAAATTTTATCTCTCACTTTTGTTTCTGTCTTCGATCAAAGCGCAACTAAAAATACTGAGTGGTGTCCGGTTCCGGGGAAGAGTTTCCCGCAACAGTACCTCTCACATTGCACTAAAGAGGGAAGCACGATAGTTATACCGATGCCAGCTGGTTGCAGAGGCTGGGCTATTTTTGGACCTTTGGTGCACGCGTCGAGCTCCCCACATTAAACTGACCTTGTGTCGCATCCTACCAGCGTCGGTTGGCATGTAAATACTAATTGTAGCGTCTTTCTTCGGGCTGGCAAACTACTTTTATCTTTCAATTGTGTTTCTATCTTTGGACATAACAGAACAAATAAATATGGATGCTCGGTGCCGAGGATCCCAAGCCTGCAGCAGCACTCCCTTCATTGCACCAAAGACTGCGCGAGGGTCGATGAAATATCGAAGCCAGCGTGTCCTTTTCTGCTGGGACAGGGCACTTATTGGCCTTAGCCCGTGTGCACGCGATTGGGCTCCACAATGTAAACCGACATTGTGAAATATCTCCTGACCGTTGGAGGGGGACGAATAAATACTAGGTATAATATCAGTTCTTCTCATCACTAATCCTAATGATTATATTAGCCACTTTGTTTTTATTTGGAAACATTCAGCATAATCGGTATACTCAAGTTACGCCTTTCTTCCCACACGGGCCATCGGGCTGGGATGAAAATGTAGTATCTGTTCTCCTCATCTCTAATGATAATGCTAATATTATCCATTTCTCTACAAGGAAACATTTGGCATTTATTGACCAAGGAGCCAGTGCTACTTGTTACGCTTTTCTTCACTCTCTGGTCATCAGGTTGGGATCAAAATGTAGTATCTGTTCTCCTCATCTCTAATGATAATGGTAATATTAGGCATTTCCTTATAAGAAAACATTCGGCATTAATTGACCGAGAAACCAGTATTATTGTCGGTTGAAATTTAAATTCTCTCTTAAAACAATTTCTCATGAAAATAGGTTTATCAAGTCCAGTAACTGTTATTGATATTTCCATTAACTTATGGAGGTTTCCTTCCTAACATTTTGTTTGAAATAGTGTGGAATATCAACATATATGTTATATCATTATTTTCCTTTCGAGTTAAACGTAATATCTATTTTAATTCTTCAGTGCCATTTCACAACCTTCGGAGATTTTTTTAAGATCTGCACACTTTATTCCCTCGAAACCATTTTCAATCATTGATCTAAGAAACTTAGTATATAATTAATAGTTTAAGCAACATTGATACAAGCATATCTAGATGAATATCAGCCTCATGAAAGTTTCAATCTGACGAGGCTTATTTAAGAATTTGAGTCGAGTTCTTTAGGGCAATGATTTGATTTTGGAATACCTTTGCCCTGCTAGAAAAATGATCCCCTAGCACAGCTTATTTCATAGTCAATTTCCTTATCTTCTATACAAAATTTATTATAACTTCACAGATTCGCTAAATGATAAGTATACCAGGATGAAAAATGCTTCAAATTTAATAAGTTTCATCGTCAAAATATTTGTTATTATTAAGAGGAAAGAAAAAAGAATTTCTATTATTAAATTATATCTTTGATCCTTTATAGTACATTCGAAATTTTGCTTAAAAATCTTCTTTCTGTTTTTCGTCAGCTCGGTGCCCAGATTTTAGTAGAAGAAATTTTAGCGTTATTTTTGCGGTGAAAAACGACACTGATTTAGAAATTCTTGCAAAAATCAAATAATTGTTGGATTTTAATTAAACTTTCAGAACTTATTCAAAACTTATTTTATATAATCTGTTGTCCACCACATTTGTGCCCGCCCCCTATGACTTCTTGTTTTTCCGTCTCTTTTATTAGCGTGAGACAGGTGACAAAGTCCCAAATTGAGGAGAGGCCTGTATCTCGACATGCCAAGCTGCTCCGCTGCCTACGAAGGAAACCCGGATGTAACTCGCTTTGACAGGCATATCCGAACGCGACTCAGGGCCTCTTTTGCTTTCCGTATTTACGCGCGTTCGCCACATTTATTCAGTGTATATACTGTCACACCTTCCGGTTTCAGATCATATCAATCTTAATCCTGCAAATTTAATATTTGAAGAAATACAAGACATTCAATGTTAAATTATGATGAAATAAATAAATCATTCATGGCAATACTGTTAATACTTTTTATCATTTATAAAACTGAGGTTCTAAAAATGTAAAAACAAAAACAAAGATTTTACAATCTGTTATAAATGGTAATTTTCGAACGCGGTTGGCTATATTCTTTATAATTACAATTTAATATGCGAGACGCCTAACAATAAAATTATTTACGGAAACAGGCTTTCAATTAGAATTCATTATCATGACTTCTTAACATTTCCACAGGTAATAGACCGATGAAAAAGTTCGCAGAATCATCTTTTTAACAGAATTATAAATGACAAATGTTTTCTCAACTCTATTTGTCCAAACCGTCAAATATAATCATTTCACAGCATCGTAAAATCTCATTGAAAATTGCCCAGAAACATTTTCAGATGATGTTTAGCTAAAAGGCGGAATAAGGTCATACACTTTTATTGAAAAATAGCTGGGTATTATTTTAATGTATCAAAACTTTTCATGGTGAAAGTGATCATGAATCTCGACATCGTCCTGTCCTTTTTGATCAACCTTCTTTAGTTTTTAATATATTTTCACATTTTGTTATATGTTTGTTTATATCAAAGGCACCAAGCGATGCCGATGTCATTTCAATCGCAAATTTATTTTTTATGGGGACGAGTAATTATACCAAAGACAAATAATTTTACAATGAGCGCCAACTGCTCTACATTTTATTCACAACTGAATGGAAATTTGAATTTGATCCTTTTCGAACGGTTTCACCTGCAATTTGTTCGATCATTCGCAGACTCTCTTCTCTGTGCCTTTAACATCTATACTACCTATTATCTTGAACCGTTATCTCATTATTATTATTATTATTATTATTATTATTATTTTCTGTGATTTCTGGTGTTTACACATTTCTTTCCGGGGACCTAAGGTTAGAAATGGGATCATGACACTTTCCACTGACAAAAAAAAAAAAAAAAAAAAAAAATTAAATAAATAAAGCCCTTCGTAAAGTGTGGGCTGTACTTGTCAGAACAATATTTTGTATCTCCTTATTATTAGGCATATTATTATTATTATTATTATTATTATTATTATTATTATTATTATTATTATTTGTGTGTTATGTTTCCTGCTTTATATCCAATGAAGCTGATTATCTGGTCCAGAGCTTCGATTACTATTGGTACAGTCTCAGTCTTCATTCCCCACATCCTAAAAGTCACTTCTGTCGTAATTCTCGCTTGTTGAACTCTCTTCCGATTTTTGGTTTCCGAGTCAACTTTGATTTTTTTTTAAAAAAAAGAAAGTAATATCAATCTTTATCTTTTATTTTCTTAATTTCTGTTTTATTGTTCTCTCTTCCTGATAGTGGTTTTTCGCATATTCCCTAACACTCAGTCCCCCCCTCCACCCGAGTCTGAGTCGCTTTATTGCCTTGCTTGGTATGAAATGATTTTAAAAACAAATCCTGAATTTATTTTGCCAAAGAAAGAATAAAACTGAAATATTATTGTTGTCCCGAATAGCACGATCTGAAAAAAAAAAATATGGCGCCGAGAGAGAAGGTAGATTAGAACGATGGATTATTTGGGAAATTCTCGTGGCTCAACGATTTAAGTAACGCATGTGAAAGTAGTGCAATGGTTAACGGCCCTGAATGAGAAATCGGTGAACCAAGTTCGAATTCCAGCCGAGTGAGTTGCATTTACTTTCGCACAAATACCTTTGTGAAAGGCATGAAACCACATTTTCTCGATGGGTTAGATCTCAATCTAGGAGAATGACAACTTGAAGCTCAAAACCGTCTGTAGCTCTGGCAAAACACATCTAACACAGTTATTCAAATACTTTACGTGTAAATTGCATCAGAACTTTTACTCATTTCACCTCAAGCAAGGCAACAGAGTCACTAAGACGTAGATGTTTTCTGAGTGTGAAAGAATATAAGAAAAACATTATTTAGGAAAGAGGGCAATAAAAGAACAGGTATTAAGAAGACAGAAGATAATGATTGACATTTCATTTAAATTGTTGAAGATTAAACTTTACTGGAAATCAAGAAGCCGGAAGACAGTTCCACAAGTGAGAAGTGCGAGAAAAGAAACTTCGCATAGAACTTACGGTTGCTGCAAAGTGATGAGATTTTGCCGCCAATCTAGTAATCCACTTAGATTAAGATATTCTAGAGGAGAATTCATTCAGTATAATCTCATATTTATATCTATTACTTATGCCAATGTTCACCCAATGCAAGGCGCAAGAGCCACTCAGGGTAGAGGGTTACTGTATGATTGTGTATGATCGTTAATAAAGGTAAGATGTGCATTTCAGCAGGCTACAACAGATGAACATTAAGCCAATGTCAAGCCATGATTTTATTGATTCACCCACGTATAGATGAAGAATGCTTGGAAAAGAAAAAGGGACGAAGAAGAAGAAGAAAGTGAGGAAAAGAGAAAGTGTGTCTTGGAAAAAAGAACAAAATGAGATAAAGAAAGAGAGGGCGGGTAAAGAAAGGGAGATAGAGAAGGGAAGAGAGAGGTGGGATAATCTGAAATCAAGAAAAAGAAAAGAGAATTATATCATACATGTATTTTTTAAATCAGTTCAAATTAAGCAAGGCAATAAAGCCCCTAAAACGCGAATTACTAAGTATTAAAGAATGAGAGGACAAACAAACAAAAAAGCCCAAAACTATTAAGGGGGGAGAACAATAAAGAACAGGAATTAAGAAGACAAAAGGTAACGATTGACATTGCATTCAAATTTTTGAAGGTCAAATTTGACTGGAAAGCAAGAAGCCGGAAGAGAGTTCCACAAGCGAGAAGTGCGAGAAAAGAAACTGTTAGCATAGAACTTACGGTTACATCTATCCATTTCGACTGTAACGTGATGAGATTTTTTTTTCCTCCAATCCAATATTGCGCTTAAATTCATAAAGTCTAGGTACCTTCGAGGAGACTTCATCCGACAATTACCATGAAATTAATTATAGAAAAGGTCAGCGAAATGTACATTACGCCTGTAGAAAATTGAATCAAGTCGAGGTGACAGGTCATGACCATTAGCATTGCAGATGCTTCTTTGATTTATATTCGCTATATAAGATGCGCAGATGGCACCGTGTTGGAGGTAAACACTGAAAAAGAACTTTTAGTCGTAAGGAAAGAGGTAAGAAAGGACTAACTGCCAATTATAAGAAGATAGAATGCATAGTTGTTAAACAAACGAACGGTCCAGAATACAAGCGTTAAATTAGAGACGCCATTTTAAGCAACTACAAAAGTACAGAGCAGACGACGAAAGACGTGACACACAAATTCGAAAGTACATTGTAAGGACGAAAGATACCTTTCAAAAACTAAACCCAATATTAAGCAACAGGAAATTTTCTTTAGAAACAAAGAAGAGTGATGAACTGCTATGCAATATCATTCTTTCTATATGACAGTGAATTTTGGACATTTTCTTTCTAGGCGATGAGGGGACTTCAAGCAACAAAGATGTGGTTCTACAGGCGGATGATGATGTTAACGCCATGTACGGAACATGTGAGTAATGGGAAAGCTTTAAGGAAAATGAGAACAAATGTAGTCTGAAATAGCTACAAATTATAGGAAAAATAATTAGGAAAAAGGGGGCTTGGAGAATTTGATACTCACAGGTTATATTGCAGGCAAGAGGGAAAAACGAATGACCTACCTGACAAACTTCTGGAAATGGAAGGTAGAAACGAGAGAATATTGGTTAGACCTGCTAGTCGCTGTATCATTTCTAGACAAATTACGCACGCAGAGCAAGCGAACGAGAGAGAGACAGAGAGAGAGAGAAACATGCGCGCACACAAACACAGACACACACACACACAGATATATTTGTATATTTAGGCAGCAATCCTTCTTTCATGCATGTTTCATTGAATATGACAGACAAGTTGCTTTGATTTAGTTTTTTAGACAATTTCTCATGTGATCTTATAATTTTTTTTCTTTTCGAATGATAAATTATATCAAAAATGTCCGAATGTTTTTTTTTTTTATCCGAGCGTTTTCGTTTAGTTTACGTTATATCAACCTCAATGGGTTATTTAATGCTGACAAAATTTTTATTACTGGTAATATTTTTTTCTTTCATAAATCTATTACTGGGAATATTTTTCCTTGAAGAAATCTATAGCTAGTCATAATTTTTTTCAAAGAATGTATAGCTGTTTGTATTGCTAGTACTTTTTTATAAAAAATTATTGCTGATACTAATTTTTCCTTCAAAAATTCTTTCTGATATCTTGGGTGTTAACTATTGTCCTATAGCTGGGACCCTAACAGGTGCTACCACCTGGGAACACCAGCAATTAAGAGGTGATCCCACGCTTCTCAAAACCTCCTGATCAGAGGCCCGTTGGATGTAGTTTATAGTCTTACCCAGGACGTGGATGTAGTTTATCGTCATACCCAGGACGACCGTGCGCTTTCGGATATATATATATATATATATATATATATATATATATATATATATATATATATATATATATATTTTAAGAAAGAATAGCTGGAGTAAAATTCCACTGTTCGTAGCAATTATTTTTTTACAAATTCTATTCGATTCTAACCCTAACCCTCCATCAGTAGTCAAACACATATCCTTTTCTATAGAATATAGGATTAGCAATAATTCTTGCAGCGAAGATGTCTTTTATAAGTATAGTAAGGTTTACAATACTGCCTTAAATATAGTGGCTATAAGTGCACTGACATCAAATATATATAAAACATAACAAGAGCGATCGTAGGAATCAAAAAAGAAACAAAAAAATCATTTGGTACACAGCCCATTAAACCAAATGGTTAATACTGTGTTTAGGCTGAAGTTCCTCCATTTAATTGATAAACACTTACCCAGAAATAATCCAATCAGTAAAACTTTTAACAGAAATACACCAAAACTAAGCTATAGCTGTGCCGATAATCTTGACAAAAATCATTAAAATACATAATAAAAGTTTAAACCAATGTAAAAACCTGAGTAATAATAGCCATTCCAAAGCAACAAACGTCAATAATACCAACGTGTGTAATTGTAGAAGTTCTAACAAATGCCCATTGCAAAACCGATGTCAAAATGACTCTCTTGTTTACCTAAGCAATACTTCTACTATAGAAAAACCAACAGTTTTAAAACTTTATATTGGGAATACCAAGAATTTTTTAAAAATACGTGGTATCAACATATATTATCTTTCACCAATAGTGCTTATAAAAATATGACGTCCCTTTCTAAATATTTATATAGAACTTAAAAGAAGTTAACAAAACCATAAAGTAAAATAAAAAATAATAAAAAAAGTTAGAACCTGTAAAACTTTAAATGAAACTTGTTTTTTATGATTACATGAGAAACTAGAAATTATGCGATTTGCTGACAAAAAATCTCTATTAAATGAATTAACTGTAAATTGCCGAAACAGTTTATATTTTGCCTTACAATATAGTTAAATTTTAAAAATTAGGTATTACCATTTGTTATGGCCATAATTAATAAATAAATAACGGTTCACCCTCTAAGAGTAATTATATTATAATTACGATTTAACTGACAACCAAAAAGAACTACTAAACCTCAGACTTAACTGCCATATATACAAAAAATATAATGGACGACATAAAAAAAAAGTTGAGATTGTGATACTATACAAAAACATTAAACTTCAAGAACAGCAGCTAATTACCACAGAACCAGAAATCCGTGATCTACTTAAAGCTGAATCTATAAAAGACAGATATGATAAAATGGAAAAATTCATCTAAACTCCTAAAGATTACTGCAAAAGAATTTCGCAACCATTTTGAAATAGTAAAAAGCTGATAAACAAATATTTTTGTTGTTTTAAACAAGTCTAACTACAACTCAAAAATTGAACAGTTACTTGACGATCACACCAAATTTAGAAAAATTAATTACTAATAATCCTACTACTCAGCTAAAAGTGAAAATTAATCACAGCTACCAATGTGAAAGAAGACATTCTAAAACTTACCAAAATAATCGGAGACTATAAACCAGGATCCATTTATGGTTCTATCAAAATGCACAAACCTAAATGCACTTTATTATATTCCAAATTCCCACCCCTGTCTACCAACTAAAACACTTAACCAATTAATTACACTATACTTACCTAACAAATATAGCATTAAATCAGCCCTTGAACTTATACAAATATTAAAAACCGAAAAACCTAATCATGAAACCATAGCATCATTTGATGTTGAAAATCTGTTCACTAATGTTCCAGTTAGAGAAACGATTGACATTATTATTAAAAATATATTATTTCATCTTTACCCCATTAAAAATTTAGCCTAAAATATTAAGAAAATTACTGAAGTCCCATTTTATGATCACAGAAATAACGTATATGTACAACGAGACGGCATTTCTGTGGGTTCAGTTCTGGGTTCAACCTTCAGCAAATACTAAAATTCAGAAAATAATATATTTAGCGCCTTCGCTCCATCTATCTAAGATATGTAGATGATATTCTTATTTTAGTTAAAACATAGAAGAAATAATGGAACTCCAAAAATACTTAAAAAAAAAACTCTGTTTTTAGGTCACATACGAACTTAACAAAGATAACAAAATCCCTTTCCGTGACATTTTAATAGACACAATAACACATTTACTACTTCCCCATATAAAACAACCGACAAAATTCTTGCCCTCTCAACTATAATATTGAATGTCCTAATTACTACAAACTAGCACTTATACAGAATTTAATTAGACGAACACAAATTAATTACTCCACAAAAAAAGATTTTCTACACCGAACTAAAAAATATAAAGCAGACTCTCATTAATAATGACTTTTCAAACCACATTGTAGATGAACAAGTAAGACAATTTAACAAAAACCCCAACACATATGAAATAGAATATGTTACTTCCGCAAAGGACCTGAAACATATCAAACTCTTATATTGTAAACAGATGCATGCTAACTACAAACAGGATGAGAAAATCATAAAAAAAAACCTCATTCGTACTAATATACCTAACTTAGATCCCAATACAACAATAAAATTAATTATATATTATATACAACCAATTCAATTATTCGCAATAATTCCTCCCCACCAACTGATGAATTACGTAAAAGCATCATTATATATCAGTTCAAATGTCCCTTGGGAGAATGTATCTCTGACAGAAAAACAAATATATATGTTGCATATATGAAAACTACATAAACAAGATGTCTTACTCTACACACGTCTGACCAATCGTCCATTGTGAGACATTTACCCCCACATTCTTGTCGATATTCACAGTATAGAAAAATACTGATTAATGACACAACTATTCTACAACATGAAAATACCAAATTAAAAGTACAGATCCTCGAAGCAATCTTCATTAAAAAAAATTGAAACCGACACTGAATAGAATCAACCTCGAATACTGCAATAATGTTCTCTAAATGTCTATAAAAAACACAGTTTTCACACTTTAATGCGCGCTGGACCATGAAATTCCGACATAAAAAAA